CCCAGCAGTGGTGGGGGAGGGGAGGAGGCACTTTTCCTCTGGGCTCAGCAGCAGCTTCTGCCCAACTGCTGCCACTGCTAAGTGTGAGGAGGCAATCTGGAGCAGGCATGGGGCAGGCTGGGGTCAGGACTCTGCACATGGGTCCCCATTAGTACCACAGGGTTGGGGCCAGTGGCATCCAGAAGGAGCCCCCACTGCTGCCTGGGATGCCTAGAAAGGTGGGCCAGGCCAGAGTTGGGGCTGGGGTTGTACACTGTTGGCAGTGCTGGGGAGGAACCTCAGGGCACGTGGGCTCCAGGCTGTTGCAGGAGGTGGGGGTGCTGACCGGCCTGCAGCAGCTCCCCAGTACTGCCTGTATGGCCCATGGGCCCAAATAATTGCCCACCCCTGATTTGAGCCCTCTGGGGTACAATTATGTTGGTGAAACAAAAGGACAGAGATGATGCCCTCTGTTTTGCCCCATCCCTAGGCTAGGGACAGACATTCAAAAAGCCTGAGCCTGAATTCGTTCAGTTTTTGGAGGCTAGTCTAACCTGGTTAGGCTGAACCTGTTTCCAACCATACAGACAGTCCCTCTTGACTGAGGAAATTCAGGCATATGCCTGCAGTGACTTAGGCTGGAAGCTAGTGGGTGCTAGAGCACCCCTTTGTGCCCTTTCACAGCTGAGCTGAGGTGGGTGTGGCCAGGCCCCAGCAGGGCTCTGATTAGGGAGGACAGTAAACCCCCAGCCTGCCTGCAGTCCCAGGCTTTTCCCCGCTCGCTGCTCAAGGGGCAGGAGTATTGCCAGCCTGCAGCCTGGGCTAGCACTCTGAGGCATGGTGTCGGGGGGGCGGGGTGGGGCGCAGTGTGCAGTACATGCATCTGTTGATGATATGGAGTTTTTCACTCTCCCTCCCTGCTTCTGTGTACTGTCTGCAGCAAACTGACAGGCAAGCAAGCTGGGGTTGGGGGGGGGGTTCATAACCGTGTTTATCACCCTTATCTCAGTTTTTATCGCCCCATTAAGACTGTTGACTCTACCTATTGATTCAGCATGGACCCAGCATGTGGTCTGTTAGCTAATACACAGGTACCTCCTCAGCAAGGCAGAGGGGAGGGGGAATTCCTGCTTAGCAGGGAGTGATGAGGAGTAAGGGGGGAGCAAACAGCATTTCCAAGGAAGAACATTAAGCTACTTGTTAAAAGGCATGTTTGCTTTGCCTCCATGTTAGGCTCAGGAACAATGCCAAGAAGCATACCTTGAATATATCACAAATAACAGAAATGAAGCCATGTAGCCACTTTATAGCATCCATGCACCAAGAAGTAGCCCTGAGGTGGAGAGCCTGACTCAGGCTCTGGACATGTGCTCATTGCTACAAAAGAAGCAGCTACATTGCTTCTTTTCCAGGATTTGGCACACAGGGAGCAGGAGCAAGGGGCAGGGTGTGCTTCTTGGCAGTGCTCCCAGGCTTGGCATGGAGGCCATGGAGACATGCCCTAAGGGCTCAGTTGGGACTTTGCCACAAAGTTAGGGGCAATGTCCTTAAGTACTGCCTCTTGCATGAGACAGTATAAGAATCTACCTGCGGTTCAAATCTTGTGGTATAATACAAGTTCTTGTGGGCAGCCACAAGAGCTCTACAGAATGTTCAGCACAAAACAAAAAAGTCATGATGAAGGATCCAATTTAAGGTATTTAATCTAAAAAAATGTAGTTACTTAATTTCTTTTAAAAATTCAAAACTTTGACTTCATTTTCAAGCATATTCAAGAGCTTTTTGGTTTGCATATTGGGTTACAATGGAGCGCATAATCAACTTTATAATGGGGACATGGGTTACTGACTTAAATGTATTGGCCTCCTCAAGATAACAACAAAACAGTTGTACATTAGTGGGTAAGCATGGTTTTTATCGTGCAACATTTGTGTGGTTTGTACAAGAAGGAAGAGGAAAATGAAGTAGTGGCTAGGATTTTTTTATGCTTTGAAATGAGAAGGAGCTGAAAATTCATCACATAATGGATCTCAATTATGGAGCAATTATCACCTCTTCATAATAAAACTTCTCTGTCCTGAGAGCTTATACTTCAAGCTTGACTTAAACGTTTTCTCTGTCAAAAGAGCCTTCTTATTCTACCTGCTTTGATAAATTATTTTGTTTCTTATTGTAAGCCACACTGAGCCTTGTTGGGGAGGGTGGCATACAAATAAATAGATTTCTACCTTTCATATGTGATCACACCTAATAGGTTTCCTGTCAAAACTGCTCACACTTTTTATGTATATCAACTTTAATGACAAATGCTGTATTTCAGCAGTTTTTTCATCCCTATGTCAGATTCATTCAAAGAAAGTCATGGATTGTTTTTAAATAATATTAGTTTCTCTGTCATTTTATTAGTCCTTCCTTTGAAAATAGCCTCTGTGTGAGCACCTGTCTGTTTTTCAGTGTTACATATAATGCAATTATAGGGTTCCTCCCTACCAGAGCCTCTGATCCTGGTAGAGCTACTGCCCACAGGGTTTAGTCCCCAGCAGGGGGAACTCTTCAGCTGCATCTGCTGGGAGCCTATAACGCCCCATGTCTCACAGCCCTGAATAAACCCTGTACCCAGCAGTTCCAAGTCCCCAGTGGGGGGAAACCCTTGGGCCCATCCTAGAACTGGACACAGGGCTGTCTGTGCTGTGGCCAACACTCAGCTGATTGTTGGCCCCATATGTGGGGCTGCAAGGCACCTGGCTTTCAAATTGCCAGTGCAAGGAGAGCCCAGAATTATGATTCCCCTGCACTAGCAAGTAGTAATAGCATAATTGGAATCTGATCCCTAATCCCAACAGTGCATCTCCTGCCATACACGTGGTGTGGCAGAAGGCACAAATTTTGGGACTGGGAATCAGATCCTAGTACACCATTAAATGAATGCATGTCTAAGGCTCCTATACCATGGATGCAGTAGTTAGAGCACTCAATTCCATAATCTAAACTCTTCAAAAAATCTAGTCTAGGTGCCTAGGGATGTTGCCATTACAAATATTGCACCTAATAAATCGGTGCAGCTTTGCCAGTGCTTGAGACAAGTAGAATCCCAGCTTCAAAAGAATAAATCATCAATATGTAAGAACTTCTGCATTGACCAGGGAGGCATAGTACCATAGCCCCCAGATTTTACTGTGTCCCTCACAGAAATATTTCATTGATAGGTCTCTGCTACTAAAAAGGTACTTTACAGTGTCTCATTATTTTCTACTTTGTAACAGTTCCTGTAAATACCATAATCATTAATTCTTTTAAAACTGAATGTGCAGTAAAAGACAACAACAATTTCTTTTCTGCTTCCTGATGAATTACAAGGATACAATGAAAGTGAAGTATAATCCTACCTATGTTGCATGCCATGATGAGGGTAGGATGGATGCCACAGTTAAGTCTGAACATCAGGTTGCAATTGATAGAGATTAAATACATGCCAGAGTGAGCATTCCAAGGAAAGCAGGAGGATGAGGATGTCTCCTTCTGTCTTCTTATCAAGGCAATTTAATATGAGCTCTAACAGAAACATATTCCTGTACAACAGAATCCAATTAAGAAGACACTTCATCACTGAAATAAATGAGGTTGTGTTTTAATTATATAAATAAGAAATAAAATGCAAAAATAAATTCATATGCAAAAAACTTCATTCATCTTTGCTCCTCAGATTAATTGAACTTCTCATTTTAATGTAATTGAAGGCAACTGAAAAGAATACTGTAATGAAATATCAGGTCATAAGAGATATGAACCAAAATGAACCAGCCTCCAGAGTACACAGCATTAACACAGCATTTAACATAGCATTCAAAGTACAGAAGCATCTGTCATACCAATGCCTTGTCTAATTTTTTTTCCTTTTAATAATTTGTCGCCCTAGTGCATCCTAATGTGAGCCAGGGTTGCCAAGGTGGGTGTGCAACATGTTCTGACTACAATGGATGCTTGTCATGTAAACCCAGACTCTTTTTTGTTCTGGAGAGGATCGGCATGAAACAGATTGGGGTGTGCCTTTCTTCATGTCCAAGTGGATACTACGGAACACGGTATCCTGACATAAATAAGTGTACAAGTAAGTGCTTTAGAAGATGACATTGTAAATTTGCTCAATCTGAATTGAGATCAAACTATAACATTTAAATTAATTGCCAATGTTATTCCCAATCTCCCTTCCCTAACCTCTGTTATGCTGTAACAAGAAATGTGATGTGATTTTCAGAGCTCTTTTGAATCTATATTCCACACCTGTTCTAAATACAATAGCACTTCAGCAATTTTACACTGTTTTGGTCAACAGTTTCCCAACCAGGGAAGATTTAAATTGATTCTCAAAGTTATACAGACACATAACTACTGTTTCTTCTTTTTAAAATCCCCTTCCTGGACAACAGTTTTAAAAAATGTTAACAGGTTTGTGAGATTTGAAAAAAAGGAACACGGAAATTTAAAAAGAAATATCAACTGCCTTTTAATCAGTTCTTTATTAGCCTATAGGGCTAAGTACAGAGCATCAAAAAGCCCAAGGCTGAATCAGTTCAGTTTTTGCAGGTTAGTCTAAGCTGCACAGGTTAAATTGCAACAGAAATGAACAGGCATTTACCTTTGATTCGGGAAATGTAGCCATATGCCTGCAGTGGCTCAGGCCAGAAGCTGGAAAGGCAGTAGAGCACAGCTTTCTGGCTGTGTGTTCATTTCCTCTGCCTGCTGCCCCCAAGGTCTCTGAGATTTGCAGTCCAGAATTACAGCAGCAGGACTCGGCAGGTTTGCTTATCATTTCCTTTTCCTGCTTCCAGGAGCCTCTGGGATTTGTAGTTCACAGTTGAGCTGGGGAAGGGGTGTTTAACCCCCCTGCCTGGCCCCAGACTCCAGCCAGGTTTTCCCCCCCTTGTTAGCCAGCCTTCACTGCTCCAGCTAGGGAGCAGAGGGGTGTGGCCAGCCCTGCTCTCTGGATCAGATAGCCCAGCCCAGCCCAGCCCAGCCCAGCCCAGGGTTGGAAAGCATGCTGGGATGCTGGGGAACTATGATTTAACTTGAACCAGGGAGGGGGTCTGGGACAGAAGCTTCATAAACCGGTTAACACAAATCAGTTAAGTCTGATACTACATTCAACCAGATTTATCTTAAAACAGTTTCAGCCATTTTGAAATTGGTTTATGTGCACTGAACTTCTATTTTGTTACAGGCTTAAACCACTTTCTGATCACTTAAACCAGTTTATGTGTATCTTCTGTCCCTAGCCTAGGGGTACATGCAGATGTTATGCTTAGGTCAACCTAACTTGGGTTAGGTCAATCTAAGTGCCAATCTGTACAAACATTCAGACAGACTAGGTCAGGCAAAAAATGGCTAGCCTGATATAATTTAGTTCACCTGAGGTAGTGAACTAAGTTAGATCAGGAACAGGTTAGCTTAAACTAACAAACGTCTGTACATGTTTGGAGTATAGACCCTGAGCTGAGAATGCCCAGCTGCTCCCCCAGCTCCAAGGCTGCACTCTTCATACTTCCCCTCCACCATGACACGGCTATTTTTAGTCCTCTGAGCCCCCCCACCTCTGGATGGAAAGTTCCCACAGTAGACCCACCAACACCCCCACAGACCCACCAGTCCCCTATGATCTTGCCAGCCTCCCTGCCCCTAGACCTGCCAGAATCCCACTTCTAACCTGCCTGTCCTTCTCCCACCCTGACTTATGTAGATCAGGTTCCTGGTATAGCTCCCAGTACCAGTGAATAGATACATAAACCTGATGAGCCAAACTTGATCTATACTCACACGATTTAAAGTAAGTAATGTGATCATAGAATATGTGCATGTACCCTCAGTGTGTACATGGAACATATGGATCAATACCTAGGTAGTTCTCCTAGATTTTATTTGCTAGTACAGTGCAGCCCAGATCATTCATACATATCCAAGTGGTTCACAGGTTCCTTTGTTCACAGTGGGTGGATGAATTAAAGATGAGCCACTCGAGTACTTGGTGCAACTTTTACTTCCGTTGCCGATCAGCCAGAGCTCATCAGGGATCCTGCCTAATTGTTATCTATGGCTCTATACCACTGTCTCCTCCCACCAGTTAGTTTTCGAACTGTTCTTTTCGCAGGGGAGCCCAACATTATGAGGTATCTAGGTTCTACTATAAGTCATCTGATTGGATAAAAAAAAATCCTACTATATTCAGTCATTAAAGGATTTAAAATGTTTGCATACTTTTCTATAAGAGCATTTTTAGAATTTGTCCTTTACATATCACACACACACTGTATTGTATGAAAAGTTTATATTATAGTGTTAAAACACTTCTCATGGTATACTGCTTCTGCCCTGTATAAATGATATAAATATAATTTTAAAAGTATATGTAAAATTTGAAGGGAGTATAATAGAACATAATGTATCATAAAAAAAATTAAATATTAGAAAAAGATGCAAAATAATTTTATTTATTATGTACTTGTATTATATGCTGCCATCCTGAACAGATATTCAAGGTGGCTTATAATAAAAATAATAATATGAAGCAAATTCTAAATTCTGAATGATTTCTTATTCCTCAATGAATACATTGGATGGAAGTGAGTCTTCATTGCCCAGCACCTTATGTAGTTATTTAATGGAAAATGAGTGTAATGGAAATTGGGTGTTTTGATTTGGTTGCATTTTCCACTCACTTTTTGTCAGTAGAAATGACTACACAAAATGCAAGGCTTTTAAGACAAAGCTGTTGACCTAATTCTTATTTATGCCAAGGCATATCAGTACTATATTTTGTACATTGCTAAAACAGTGAAGAGGCCTTAAAGAATAATTTGCTCCTACTCAAAGGCCTTTTTACTTTGCTATAGTTGTTTGTGTCATGCATAAACCTACATCTTAGCAAACATGTGCATCAGATACTTTGGAGTTATTAAGTATGAGTGACAGGATGTAACTGCTATTTTTTATATTACAGAATGTAAAGCTGACTGTGAAACCTGCTTCACCAGAAATTTCTGCACAAAGTGCAAAAGTGGGTTTTACTTATACAGTGGAAAGTGCCTTGAAAATTGCCCTGAAGGGCTGGAAACCAACAATCACACAATGGAGTGCACCAGTATTGGTAAGTAGAATCTCTGGTCTACGAGTATACCTTTTCTGCATGGATTTCACTGAGAATTCATGCCAGGAGGACTTACTAACAGATCAGATTCAAAATTAGGAAAGAGAAACTCAAAACTGTGCCTGAATTTATTTCTTCTTCTTTTTTCTTAAATAGAAAGGCTCAGTAACAAAAAGCATTTCCCTCTACCATGTCCCCAAGAAATTTCTCAAATCTGCCATCTTGCCCTTTCTGAATAATTTGGATAGATTAATTTCCATTTATTAAGGGCTCTGTCGTGACATAGGCCCAACTCTATGTTCAGGGCAGTACGGAGCATCCTAGGAATTCTGCCTCATGGCTTGCAGCCCAAACTCTCCAGCAAACAGGTGAGTATGCTCTGTATTTCACCATGTGTTGCATTTCTCCTCTTTAGAAGTACCACCATGCTCTATCCTCTGCACTGAACCAGATCCACTAATTGGTGTATAAGAGCAATGCAGGGCTGAGGGTGAATCTCTTCCTAATGCACTTGGAATGTTGTGACTATTGCCTACCTTACATTAAAAAACTATGAGTCAGATTCCCAAAACCATGAGCTTGTCTTAAAAACAATAATATTGTTATAAAACATGTTTTGGTTTCTTTTTATTTGCCTTCTGATTTTTGAAAGTTTAATGTAAGCCCAGGTCATATTTTAAAGGTTTTTTTCCCCTACAACCATAAAGGCTAAGAACTTACCTTTTTTTGGAAAAAAAAAAAGCTGAGATTCTAGTGAAATCATTTGACTCTAGGAACTGAAGAACTGAGATCATCATAAGGTGCCATTACTGATTTGGCGACTTATATATGTTTCTTGTGTTTCTTCATATTATGAAACCAAGAAGCACAAAGGAACTGTCTGGCACAGATTGAATTCAACGCCCCCACATTCATGTGCCCATAACACTCACCGTATGTGTTTTGAAGGAGAGGCACTGCTCTTTCAATTTCAAAAAGAATAAAAATAATGTATGCTAGTTTTGCATCTGTCTTTGCTGGTATATAATTAGGTCAACTGGTGATGATGGTTTTCATGATTTCATTTTCAAGTGAGGACTTTCATGCTAGCATAGAAGCCTGAAGAATCATTTCCTTTTCTTTAATGTCTGTTTCAAACTGCCTAGGACTTAGCTGCTTTAACAATGAGTCAGTCTCAACTCGGAAAAAATCATTTAAAGTTGCAGTGGAAAACCAGATCCTTGTTGTGCACATAAAGGCCCGTTATTTAGTAGAAGTGCCTCAGAGCGCCTCATGCCTAATATGCAAAGACAAGTGATCTACATAACAATTAAGGGGAATAGACTTAGAAAGTGCTTGATGTTAGTTACTTTTTTTGGTTAATAAATTGGGAAAAAATATACCAATGGAAAAATTGATAAGATCATTAAATCTATCATCCTTAGAGACACTCAGTAGTTCTCTACATTGGCAGTTCCCAAACTAGGGGTCAGTATCTGACATGGGTGGTGAAGCCCATAAAAAATATATATCCTTAATGTGCTCAAGCCAGAAGTGAGATCACATGTAGTTGTGAGCCAACTAGTGGTAAATTCCTGAGTGAGATCACAGGAAGAGACTTGGTGCCACTGTCATAAACAAAGGATGTATATGGCATTAAACTTATTTTACACCTGTTCTGGAGACAAAGAAATGGGGCATGGGCATACATTAAGGCAGTTAATCAAAACTGTGCATGTAGAGTTAGAGAATTATTTTAAAAGCTCCATCTAAAATGTGCTAGATTATGAGCAAACCGCAGAATGCAAACTGTACCTATTATTTAAAAATAATCTTGAGCTGGATCCAAATCACCCTGGATTATATTTTACTAAACCCCAAGCTCTTTGTTTGTGGAATTAATGTTTCTTCCAGTTTTGCCCATCTTTACCTTGTCTGTATTATAAATGGCAGCCCTTCCATGACCCTTAACTATGTTGTTGACTGCCAACATCAAGGTGACTGACTCTCAGTGATTTCAGTTGATAACTTAGCCCTCAGTTGATTTCAATGGTGGTGAGGTGCTGAAACCCTTTGTCTAGGAACAAAAGTTGCATATAAACTGGTATAAGTGATCAGAAGCTGGTTCAAATCTGTAACACAACAGAAGTTCAGTGCATATAAACCACTTTCAAAATGGCTCAAACTGGTTTAAAATAAACCTGGATGGATATAGTATCAGACTTAACTGATTTAGGTTAAGTTAAACCTCTGGTTAAACTTAGGTTAAAATTCTGTCCCAGATCCCCTCCAGATTCAAGTTAACTCACACCCCCAGCATCCCAGGATGCTTTGCACCCCTCTTGTAAACCCCACCTCTGGCAGAGTGAGTAGGCTAGCCTTGGTCCAAGCTATCTGCTCCAGCCAAGAAGGACGGCATGCCCTAGCACCCCCCAGGTTCTGGCCTGGTCCACTATAGGCATGGATGTCTGTTCACTTGTTTACAAGTTCAAGCTACACAGTTTAGACAGGGGGCAGGAAAATACAACCTGTAGGCCAGATCAGGCACCCATGTATACACAGATCTGGCACCCTGCCAGGCACCCCCTACCCAAACATATCTGATTGCATCTTGCTCCAACTCTGATGGGCTGGAGGGCCTAGCGCTGCCAGCATGCAGCTTCCAGGTGGGGCTGGTGCTGCCACTGCTGTAACCGCCAGGGGACCAGCTTGGCTTCCCTGACATCCCACTTGCTCTGGGCAGCAGGTAGGGAAGAGATAGAGGTTGGGGGGGAGCTGCAGCTTGGTGGGAGGGCAGAGCGTGAGGCTGGGGCTGGTGACAGTGCCCACTCCCAGGGAGTGGCAGCAGCATGGAACCTGGATGGGCAGCTGTGGGTATGAGGGAGGGTGGGGAGTATAGGGAAGCCCTGCATATTCCTCCCATGGTGCACAGCCCCCACCAGCAGCAGCAGCAGGTGGGGGCACTTAGGGTGCACAGTGGCACATGGTTCGAGCCAGCACTGCATATGGGTGCAAGAAAAGCAGCCTGGCCAGCCTGCCTCTATCACCAGGGCTCCCTGCCATGCATATGCAGCTCCCACACTAACTCATCACTGGGGGAAGCCCCATGCTGCACCCGGCTGCCTTCTTCACCCCCTGCCATGAAGGTCCTATGGCTTCGCCAGAAGGAGCCCTGACCCTTGCTTCCCTGAGGAGTCCCAGGACCTATGCAGCAGGGGCAGGGAAGGCAGCTGGCTCCAGCACAGGGCTTCCCCTGGTGTTACGTGAATATGGGAGTTGCACTTGCATGGCGGGGAACCTCGGCAATAGAGGCAGGCCAGCCAAGCTGCACTTCTCATCCCCATGTGCAGCACTGGCCAGAGCTGCGGCAGTGCCTGCGCCAGGCATGACTGCTCCAAGTGCAGCCATCTGCTGCTGCTGCTAGTGGGGCTGTGCACCATGGGGGAAATGTGGGGGAT